TGTGAATGCAAAAATAAAAAGGTTATACGTAAATATGAAAAGGGAAAAATGGAAACAAACTTGTGAAAACCTGAACCCAAGAAACCCGAATACAAAACTTTGGCAAAACAAATTGACAGAGCCCAGCCACAAACTGAAAACACAAATATGATTAAGAATATGGATGGTACCCCAGCAACTAATGACAAAAATGCTGCTAATCTTTTAGCTAATTCATATCAAATAAGTAGTAAAATCAAATTTGAAATAAAAGATAAGAAAGTTTAAAAAAAGGCCTGAAAGATTATCCATGACTGTAAAAATGTCACCAGCACTCATAATATTTTCCATGAAAAAATCAATATAAAAGAGCTAGATTATGCATTAGAAAACACTGACCTGAACAAGACTCCTGGGCCAGATGGAATCCATGGCCAAATGATATCAAACTTGGGCAAAAATGGCAAAGAAAGACTTCTTGATATTTTCAATAACTCCTGGAAAACTGGAAAATTGCCTCAAGACTGGAAAACTGCAACAATAATTCTTATTAAAAAACTTGACAAATCTGCTGATGACCCAAAAAACTACCGAGCTATCTCCCTCACAAGTATTGCTGCAAATTAATGGAAAAAATTATACTCAGACGACTCACCTACCACCTCGACACAAGAAATCTCTTACCAAAAGAACAATATGGATTTAGGAAAGGACATGGGACAATAGACCAACTCTTATTTTTCACACAAAAGGTAAGAGATGCACAAAACAGAAAACCAACTAACCACACAATAGCTGCTTTTTTAGACCTTACACAAGCTTTTGATAAGGGGGGTATGGAAAAACAAGTTAATTACAAAATTATACAAACATTTCAAAATTGATGGAAAAGCTATCACTTGGATAAATGATTTCCTTAAAAATAGATTCCTCAGGGTCAAATATGGCACTCTATCTAAAACTTTCAAATTGTACCAAGGATTACCACAAGGATCAGTCCTTAGCCCAACTCTCTTCACCCTATTTATTGCAGGAATAGAAGAAAAAATTTCACATAAACCAATATTAAACTTTTCGCTGATGACATTATTCTATGGAGCAGCAACACTAACTGGAAAAAAGCTGAAAGAGATTTGAACAAGTCTCTTCTCCACCTAGAAAATTTTTCGAATAAACATAAATTAGAATTTAACCCCCAAAAATCTGAAACCTGTCTTTTTACTACCGATAAGAAACTATACAAAATAAGACCAAAAATTATTCTGAAAGAACAACAATTGCAATATAATAAACATCCTAAATATCTCGGCTACACCCTGGATCCAGAAATTAACTCCAGTAAACATATTGAAGAAGTTATTAGAAAAGGAAGAGACCGACTAAAAATCCTGAAATATATTTCAGGAAGAGAGTGGGGAGCCGATGCAACCACACTAAAATTAACTTACACATCTCTAATTAAACCTATCCTGGAATATGGATATCAAATCTATGGTACAGCATCTGAAACAAATCTAAAATCACTGGAAAGGATACAACTAAGTGCAGCTAGAATTATTACAGGTCTTCGAAATACCTGCCCTAATGATATTGTAGTTTACGAGGCAGGCATTATGCCCTTAAAGGATAGAAGAAGCTACAATCTGCCAAAATATATTTTAAAAATCAAAAGTTATGGAAACAAACACAGAACTTCCAATTACATACTTAATTGGGAATCCAATATAAGACTCAAAAAAGAAGGCCCTCTCCACCTGGCCAAAAGAAATGGATTTTTAAAATATAAAGTGAAAAAAAATTATTTAGCAGAAAAAATATCTCCATGCAAACCACTACAAAATGTTATTTTAATGCCACTTTAAATGAACCCACCAACAAACAATACCAAAATCCAGAATACTTAAAACAATTATCATTAGAAATAATTAATAACATTCCTAAAAATGCAATAACTATCTATACCGATGGTAGCAGAGACGAGCTAGGACACACTGGCAGTGGCTGTCTCATCAAAACCACAAATGGCATTGAGAAAATGAACAGAAGAAACCCAGATTTTTGCTCAGTCTTCAGATCAGAACTTATAGCCATCTATGAAGCCTTAAAATCCATCAGAAATACCAATTATCAAGATATCTGGATTCTTACTGATAGTAGAAGTGCCATACAACACTTGAGTCACACAGGGGAACTCAGAGACAAAGTAAGCAGGAACATAATTGGTTATCTCCAAAAACTCTCAAAAATTCACCTTCAATGGATACCCTCACACGTTGGCATTGAAGCTGCTGATGTGCTAGCAAAAAAAGGCACAAAAGAACCCTTGCCACAGAAAAATAAACTTACTTTTAAAGAAATAGAAACAATAGCCAAAACAAAAATAAACAAGAAGTGGAGGATCCCACCTAAGCACAGTTGGTACATCCTTGGAGCAGTGGCCACCCAGACCTTTCGGTCCATAAACCAGCATGCGATAGCATACCCATTGCTGTATCTAGGTCACCTAACCAAAAGGGAATGATGCATTCTCCATGCACCAAGCGGCCATTGTTTGGCCCCTCACGCCCGCCATTATGGTCTGGCTCCATGGGGTCGACCAATCAAACCCACAGGCATCTCCGAGAGTTCATGGCAAGGTTGCTGACCGAGCCCTCTCGTTCAGACTTAGTTAAACCCGTCCTAGGCTCCAATAGGACTCCCCCCCCTTTGGCCCTCGAACCCTTTGTTCACAGTACTCCCTGAGTCTGCCGACGAATCAAGGACCTCTGAGGTTCTGAGGTTTACGCTGGGAACCAACGTGAAGGCGGGAGGGTGGTACTGTTGTGTGCACCCCTTGGTTTTTCATGGCGCGCATGGCAAGGACGCTCCCAATGGCGCACACACAGAGCAAAGACCCAAGAGTTTCAAGACACGTGCGCCTAGCGTCAGCCAACCAAGGGCAGATGGCCAGCTTACAGCTTCACCAGCCATCAGCCAGTGGCACCCCGATGCGGACGAACACGCAGAGTCGCCTCTCCACTCCCCTATCCTCTAGGGTGAGTGAGGGGTGGGCATACTTCTTTCCCCACTTCCCAGCACCCTTCTTTCCCAGCACAGTTGGTACAGTGGAGTGAACCCAGGAGGAGCTCTGAACATCAGAAATAGACAGCATCAAACAACATTAACAAGATTTAGAACAGGCCATCTCAAGCCATTGAAGATAGAAAATAATAACAAAACTTATCCCACTTGCCCAAAATGTAGTTTGGTACCTGCAGCTCCAGAACACATTTTGGCTTGCATTAGATGCACTAAACAGGATCTTTGGGAGAGGCCGCTGCTCATCATAAAACAGCTCAAGGAGCATGAACTCATGGAATTCGTGCAATCTTTACACAGGGGATAAGAAACAACAACAACAGTATAGCCATTGCTGGAAAGTCTTTTCAACAACTATTGTTGTTGGAGTGTAGGAAACCAATGGCAATCAAAGAAGCTAGTATAGCCATTGTTGAGAAGTCTTTGCAACAACAACTATTGTTGTTGGAGTGTAGGAAACAAATATCAATCAAAGAAGTTGGTTTGCCATTGTTGAGAAGTCTTTGCAACAACAACTAATGTTGTTGGAGTGTAGGAAACCAATGGCAATCAAAGAAGTTAGTATAGCCATTGTTGAGAAGTCTTTGCAACAACAACTATTGTTGTTGGAGTGTAGGAAACAAATATCAATCAAAGAAGTTGGTTTGCCATTGTTGAGAAGTCTTTGCAACAACAACTATTGTTGTTGGAGTGTAGGAAACCAATGGCAATCAAAGAAGTTAGTATAGCCATTGTTGAGAAATCGTTGCAACAACAATTGTTGTTAAGGCCTAGGAAACCATGGGCAATCAAATAAAGTTTATCATAAGTGAGTATAGCCATTGCTGGGGATGTCCTTGCAACAACAACGTTTTCATGAAAACAAAGGTAATCCAAGAAACACTTTATTTATAACAAGTTAGTAGCCATCATTGGAGAAAGAGACATCCTTGTAGTCAGGGTATTGCTGGCGGAGGAGGTCACAGGTGATGGAGTGATCCGCCCGGCCATAACCCTGAATAACACAATGTGGTGAGCATTCAGGTATCTATTGGATTACACACAATGGCAATATATTAACTAAATGAAGCAAAATATGATAAATTTAGAGACAAACCAAAAATATATGTGGTCATGCTAAGATGATTGATTGGAAGCTATGCTGTGGTAGTAGGGTTGTGCAGAATGGGCACTGGATTGAAGGTGTGGAGCAGCATAGCGGGTGACAAGATATACACAAGGAATGACAAGGGACAGGAATTGGGCCTAGAAGGAGCAGATTGGTTCATTACTGGAATGGTTGGAATGAAATGGGGGCATGAATGACCGCAAGTGGGTGACAAAAATAGTGATTCTGTGCTAGTGTGTGCTCTGGTTTTTACATTTGGATCACATGATGTGACAGGTGGTTGACCCAGACTGGTTCTGTATACTAACTGGCCAATTGTGTGAACACAGCCATGGGGTTATGTTAATAAGTAAGTGGCAATATTTCTGCTTTTCTCTGAGTTTTGATTCGTTTAATTCTCAATTGATACATTTAAAAATAAGGCTTAATAGTGATTTAATTATATAAACAAAGCTAGGTAATATAAAAATGAGATATCGATATCTGAGTAGTGTACACTAATTTACGATAATAATAAGCTATACTATGGTATATAATATACATGGTTTGGGAAAGACCCCTGAGGGAACTACTAGAGTTCCTTCCCTGGGCAGGTAGATGTGAGGCTGACATTGCCCAACTCAAGACAAAGATGCTACTTGTCACCATAACTGTTGTTTTTATTGCCTTGGGATGGATGCTGAAGAGCTAGGCCTACATCAGAAAAGAGACCAAAGATTTAGCAACTCCAGTATCTGTGGATCATTGCTGGCACAGGTAGCACACCTTGAGGCAGAATGTTCAGGCAGAAGCTGGAGCTGTGTCCTGAGAAGGAGTTGCAACGCAGGTCGGCCCGGAGGATAGAACGGGGCACACCCACGGCTGGAGGATGTGGCACCAACCGTGGGTGTGCCCCACTCCATCCCCTGGCTGGGAGCCACACAGAACCAATGGTCTGGCTGGTGATGTGGTGTCATTGACCCCCCACAGGATGATGGTTTGTGCCATGCCCTCCAACCAACAGCAGAAGTTTCCAAGCAGTAGATGTTGGAAAATGTTTCCGAGGTAGAATATGTACAGGAGCATAGCACTATCAGAGAAATCCTTGATTAGCAGCCAGCACTAAAGAGTCTGGCAGTTGTAGAATCTATTCTGCTAGATGTGAGGAGGACAATTTTGAGCTAAACAATCAGGAGATGTCCGAACCAAACCGTCCACTTATAAATGGGAATAGCCAGGTTGCACACAGAGACAGAATAAAGAGTAAACTCAGACCATCCAGATTGTCCCATACAGACCTGGGAATAGCCGTACACCTTGATGGACTTCTTGTCCAGGTCATGCTGGATCCGTCCACCGCCCACACACTCCGTCTCCAGGATCCCTCCATCCTCTATCTTGGGGGTCACCTCATCCAGGATGTCTCCTGCACCCACATGTATAAATAAACATTATACAGTTAAACCTGTCTATAGCGCCCCTCTAAATAGCGCCTTCCTCTCTATAGCGCCCGATTTTAAATGTGTAGTACGATGCCATATACGTTAAAAGTGACCTGTCTATAGCACCCCCTCTCTATAGCACCATATTTTGGTGAGTCCCAAGAGGGGGTGCTATAGACAGGTTTAACTGTATATATATATATATTGAGTAAAATTAATCAGGCCTCCAGGGAAAAGTGTCTTTTCATTATATATATATGCTGTAGAATGATACAGTTTACATATTACCACAACTGTTTGTTTGCCTCCAAGTTTTAGCCATAAAGCTGTTGCACTATCTGTAATATAAACCACAAGAGTTGTAAATTTACTGGCTTTAATGAGTTTGATGATAAACTAATCATTTGAATTTCTTCAATTCAAATGAAAACTCAATTCCCCCCTTGGGGTGTTGAATAAAAAAAGATGTTAGACTATTACAAAACAATTCTTTACTACCCTTAATGTAATGATAATAAAAATGGTTTTATATTAAAAATATGTGTTTAAATAGTTTTTATATATTTCTTAGTACAGTGGCGTGCTATGTATATTGCATATCAAATTAAAATTTCTATTCTGACCAATTACCTATTTAGAAACTCCGCCTTTGCCGGTCCCAAGCCCGGATGAAAAAGGAGGAGGAAGAGCAGTAACAAGCTCACTAAAAAAACCTGGGCTCAGCTGGCCTGGCTGATAGTACCCTGTAAGGGCTCCTAATCCAGGGACACAGGATGAGCAGTGTTTGTACTCCATGTTAGGAGCGGCTGCACATGGCGTCTGTTCCTCATGTCAGAGGCGGCCATTTCTTTTGGAGCTAAGTCAGCCTGTCACTGAGTAGTGCTCCCAGTCTTAATGACAAAGGCAGACGCATTCTACTTCACCCAGTCATGATGATTGTCAAACAGACACCATCAAGGGTCACAACTTGATACCCTAATATGATTGAGTGGAGATAAGAAAGAAGAAGACCTATTTAGAAAATAACAACAAAAAGCTTTATTAAGACCTTTCAGTCTTATACAGATTCTCCGAGTAGAAATGTAGGGTACATGCAGGGGTAACAGTAAAAATACCAGTAATAGCTAGAAAATAGTGTGTGACACTAAATATTGAATAAACCCAGTTGAAGCGTTCAGCTGGACAATCCTTGTATTAATCCATAAGTAGGAACCTGGAGCTGTTTAATCTGAAGGTCCCCCAACTAACATATGACAAGAATTACAAGGCAACAATCCAAATACAGTATAACCTCGTTAATTCGACACACGAAAATTCGACACTCTACCTTAATTCGACCATATTCTGAAGTCCCGACCTCCGGCCTATCAAATAACAAACCGTAATTCGACAGTATCGATAATACGACAGTTCCAATAGTTTGACCATTTTAAAATTCGAACGGCAATGACGGCGGGCGCCGATAGGATCGCGCCTGCGCACTTTTGGTTTCTGTTAGTTTAAGTTTCACTTTGCAGTGCCGTTGCACAATGTCGCGAGTGTTATTGTTTTTTTTACGCTGGAATTTCGGAATATCGCGCGCTAATTAATAATATTATTTTCTTTTTAAATTTCAGCATTGAAATATTTAAGTTATTTTAAAATTTACAAATAATTTCCTTTCAAATAAATAAATTTTCATAAAATGTAGCCACAATGATTATGATAATATTTTATTTCAATATTCCATTTCCATATTGTTATAAAAGATTTAAACACAAAATCAATAACACCTGCAGCAGGAGTGGATGTCTTTAATACAATAGTTATTTAAAACACATTCCAGAGGAAGAAAGACATGCATGTTTTTTTTTAAATAGACCATCTGGAATACATCCTGAATAGGATTTCAGTGCAAAAACAGACATCTATGAAGGAATTTTTAAAAAGATCTTCATGATTATTTTTAAATATTATTTTTAAATTTTCTTTTTATTTTCCATATTTATTTCTTTTCAACTGCTATATTCTTTAATTAGAGTAAAATATTATTTGTAATTATTTTCTGATAAGGCACAATTTGGATTATAGATTATAAACACAAGGTAATAAGACCAAATCCAAATAAATAAATAGTGTGTAATTATTTGGATTTGGTCTTATTACCTTGTGTTTGTAATTATTTTCTGTTTCAAAAATATGTAGTATTGCCATTTTGTCACTGATACTAAAGTTAATCATGAAAATAAAAAATAATGCAAAAAAGGACACACACAATGGTTTCAATTAATATGATCAATTTATATTACAAAGCAATTTTAAAAAATATTATTTTAGCGAGTTAGATGATTAGCTAATCATCTAACCTTAATTCAACACTTCCTTTAATTCAACCGAAAGCTCTGATCCCTTGGGATGTTGAATTAAAGAGGTTCGACTGTGTATGTATTTTTTATACATAACACAAAACATCATGTATATTCCTTATTTGGACTTGTTACATTAGAACCTCCATGAAAGGACATTCTCGCTAGAGGACACCTCTCTACAAAGGAAGGCTTTCATTTAAAGCCTTCTAACTGGCAAAAAGCCAGAGAGGACACCTCTCTGTAAAGGACCTATTGGCTCTGAAACTTGGTGTCCTTTAGGAGAGAGGTGTCCTCTTACCCAAATATCAAAAAATGGTTATTTTTGTGATAAAAACCATTTGTTTTATAGTTATAACTAAGAGGCAAGGAATAATTCCAAAAATCTAGAAATGAGTATGAGACTAGTTTTTAAATGCAATGTTGCTTCATTCTAAATAAGGAAAAAAACTTTACATCACATAAAGGTAATACTAACCAAATGTCTAAAAATGCATAACTTATGTATGTATTGTCTTTATCATTTTAACATCTCTGTTACATACACTAATAAGAAAAACTTAAGGAAGTTGTACCTTTTAGCATGTGTATCGGGATTCAAACAATTAACTCTTGAAAGATATTTGATACAGAGTGATCTTTATTGAAGACACACAAGATAACTAAAGTGTGAACAAAATTGCCTGTCTCCTTCTAAAAAAAAATAGATGACCGACGACATAAAAATATGAAACTTCCTTAAGTTTTGTCCACAAGTGTATATACAGTAAAACCCCTCTATAGTGAACCCCAATGGGACAGAGCTTTTGGTTCACTATAGCCACGGTTCACTATAGCCACGGTTTGGCTATTTTTTTTTACTTTTCAAAAATTTTAGACCGTATAATTAAAAAACAGCCATACACACAAGAAGAGGCTGCCTCTTAATAGTGGTCACTTTATTTTAATTCCCTTAATTGACTAATTTCCTTATATTAATACTGAATAATAATAGAAATCATTAGATAATAGGTTCTTCTTATGATTAACATACATGTACCTCTATGTCTAAGTTAAAAATCAAGACAAATCCTAGGCAAAGTTTTATTAAATATATATTCGAAGATCTGAAATGATTTTAAACATCATTATCACATTATATAATACAATTTTTACTTGAAAAAAATGGCTCTAATACCTTGTGGTTTCAAAGCATTCTTCCAAGCATTGCACCATTCAAATAAAGTTATTGTTTTTCTTCCATTTCATGTTTCCCCATATTCTTCTAGGTCTAGATTTCGTTTTTTTTTTTAACCTGCCATGCAAAACATTGCTGACTTTAAAATCACCATAGTTAATGGCATAAAAATAATTTTTGTTTCATCACGGGACCGTTTATTTGGACTTTTTTTTTTTTTTAAGTTCTAAAACGTATGATCGCGATCGCGGCAAAAGTTGAAGTTGATTCCTCTTTGTAACAATTTTTAATAACTTTATATTTTATCTTTTATAATAGAAAAGTTATATTCTCTTATTTTAATATGTTCTTAACATTTGCCTATGTTGTTTCACTTTGAAAAGTTCTGTAAATGGCCTTTTTTTTTTTTTTTTATGAAATAATGCTTTTGTTTTTAAAATGCCTTTGTTTTCTTCATTTTGGAAGCCATTTGCATTTTTTATATTTCAAATTTAATGGATGCAAAGATATTCTAATTAATAAAAAGTATAATGTGTAAAAATTTATACAACATACAGCAAAAATAAAGTGCAAAAATCAAACAAACAATGCCGCTAAATTTATTGTTTTGAAATCGCGATCCGCGAGCTTTAAACATGCTCAAAATTTTGTTTTTTTATTTTTTTTTTTAAATTACAATTCTAAGTTCGTTATAAGCATAGTATTTTTAATAGATTTTATCATTTTGGGACCCGAAATTGGTTCGTTATAGGGGTAGTTCGTTATTCTAAAAATCGCAAAGTTCGTTATAACGATGGTATTTTCAATGGAATGGAATTGGGAATCGGCGTGAGTTCGTTATAAGGGAAGGTTCGTTATATCCAGGGTTCGTTATAGCGGGGTTTTACTGTATATATATCCACACAACGTATAGAGAGATGATAAAATGTGGGTCGAGCTGAATCCAACCAGGTGGCAGATAGG